TATTAGCTCCCATAAACTAAACTACCATCATTTTCAAATGACCTGATTATGATAATAACTTTTAGTATATATAAATGACTAGATTTGAACCCGGCTCGTTGGCCGGATGCATTTTATAAATGGTATAAACAACCATAGCAATATGCTCGAAGTAAGATGGACCTACCCAGTTGGTCGAAGTCATTTTGCATATCGCAAAATATTGAGTAGCAAAAGTCAAGCAAAATACAATTTTATTTGGTAGCATAAGAGAATTCAAATTATTTAGTAATTGCTAATATTCAAAAGGATTAACATTATAGTATTTTCTATAAACAACCGGTCCATTAGCTAAAATCCTTAGCATAAACGATAGACCTCGAACCAAGGAACCAACTCCTAAAAACTTGTTCAAATGAAACTTATATTTGCTCCTCTTTGATAGAAATTACTGCATATTTTCTTGGCTTTGTTTGGTTTCCTCTACCATGAGCAGATCATCATCTCCATCAATAACAACGCCTTCATCTCCATTAGTGTCACCTCCATATCAATTATCAATTGTCTCTTCCTTATTGTATTGTATTCCAATGATCTCTTCTTTCTTCTCGTGCATTTGATCGAACTAAAAAATGAATTGTAAGATATTCTCAAATATAAAGCACCGTTTTTGCTAAAGTAGATTTTACCTCGTCCAATTTATGAATATTTTCCGCAATTTGCTTTCTTTCGCTATCAGCCTATCACTGATATTATATGAGCTTGAAATCGTAACAATAGTACATGATATAAGGAAGAACGAACTGGTTATCGAGTGAGACCATACTCACCATGATTGATTAGTTGTTTTCTTGATGTTGATACCTTGCAAAACCATTGTCATCGGTAGTTGTTTTCTCGTGGATCTCCTTAGGAAAACATTTAGAGCATACACTATTTGATGCACATGGAGCTTTACGTATTCGAATGCCATTTAGACCATGAAGAATAAAATTTGTAACTACTTCATAAAATTTAAGATCTACTTAGATATGAAATTTCATCGAATATTGAATCTATTTATGAAGGACTATAGAATTTATCTTCCATGCACGTCTAGAAATAATAATAATAAATGAGTATGAGATAGACAACTTTTTAAAAAGTTCACAACACTTTCAAAGTAAAAGAAATTATCAATAGCCGTCTAAACCGAAAATAATTAACAAACAACTCATGACTAAAGAATGATTAAATTAAACCTATGGAATATAACCTAGTGAAAAAAAATTCTCATTCAACAATTGATTTAGCTTCATCTTAAAAACTCTTGCGGTGATATCGACTCTATTAGGATCTTTCTTAGAAGTAGTTATTATCCAATCAACCATGTATCGAATATCGTGCTAATCAAGTTTACATGAAAATATAACAGAAAGATTTTCATTTTATACTTGCTAATCTTGTTTGATCAATTCTCTTCAACTCAAATGTCTGGGAATTATTTTATGAAAATGTAAGATAGAAAGCAATAATGTTGTAAGATGAACAATGTGAAATGGTTAGAGATCATAAACAATTAATAGTTACCATAGATGTTCATTAACAGGCAGAGCCATGAATCTGAATGAGGGGGGCTTCAACCATTATAATTGGACCACGGGGATAAAGCTTTTACTGATTACCCTATTAGCTAAATTTGTTACAAATTTTACATGTAATTGTATTTATAGGGACTGCTATAGCCCCTCCAGCATCCAATCTAACTCCTCCACTTTGTTCATACCATCGGAAAGCTTACTTGCGCTTCAAATAGGAATTGAGTAGAATCAACCGCAACTTTGGATGATATAAAACAACTCTATTTTTTTTAATTAGTGACCACAAAAACATACATTAAATTATAAAATGTATATAATCATGCTAATATAAATATATGTACTTACATTGAATATGTTACAATAGAATTAGAGCACTGTTCAGTGGTTTGAATAATTCTCAACGAAAAATATTTCTTAGAGGTGTCAAATTACCAAAGATAATTCTAAATAATATAAAAGTTAATTTGGCAAACCTTAGACATATGTCATTCTTTGATGAATAACTCATCCTAACCATGTGTTATTGTGATTCTATTGCATAGTCAATTACTGTAAAAATATTGTAAAAAAGACATAACAATGAATTCATGTCAATTTAATTAATTGGTGCAAATCATGGTTATCACGCTGGCCGACATGCCACTGGTTGAATTTGGTTCAACCGGTACCGAACTTGAAATCGGCGTCAACACCACCGGTATGATCGGGATTATTGATTTATGATCTCTAAGCAAAATAACGTTGTTTTATCACCACTATGTAGATGTTTATTTAAATGTCAATATCAATTGCAAGTAAATTGACTTCAAATATGTTTTATATATGATTAAATTCATTTATTGATGATAAATTTTCACATTTCTGCATATTTTATTAAACTGACATCGGCGACATGAACCAACACACCAATTATACCACCTGTTGATCTTTTTCACTTGCTAAACCAGCACAACGATGTAAATGAGTTTGACAACCTTCATGCAAATTAATTAAACTCAATGGCTTCTCTTGCAAAGAAAGAAAGCTCGACCATGAAGCTACTCAAAAGAAAAGCTCGACCATGAAGGGCTTGGACATTGCAATTTTTTTATTATTGAAAATGCCCTAAATCAAATCAAAGCAATCAGGCCCATACATAAACGAAACCCACGTCTTTAATTAAATAAAATACAGAAAATCCCCGAAAAAGCCTGGTTTTTGAATTAAAAAATAAAATGACCAAAAACTCCTTCCTCGCTTTGCGCAGAAGCCTGAAAAAAAAATGGAGTGGCTCCTAGAGGAGAACCTCCATATATTGTTTGCATGATGATGACGACGACGACGACGAGTGGAATAGGGCCAAATCCAGGACTCACTTTAGAACTACCCTAAAATATATCGTTTTACAGGGTCACGTTATAAATATGGTTCAACCCTTTCTCCTTTGGTGGAACTGGTAACTTCCAGACCTTTTTCCAGTCCACCGGATCATATATTTGCTCTTGTTCTGAGTCCATTGCCTCCTCTTTTATCTTCTGCCTCCATGCCCAATATCTTGATTTAGCTGTGTAGTGTCTCATTTTCTCAAAACTCCACACTTGCTTGTACGATCGTGGTGTTCTAGGTAGAAGAATTGCCATGATTCTAGCTTTGTCCATTGGATTAAAATGCTGTTGCAGCAATTTGTTCTGCACTGCTGGGATGTGTGGTCAATCAGTGAGGAAACCCGAGCTATGATGCCTAGGTTAGACACCGGTGAGACAACCAAATAGCTATCTTCTGCATTATCTGGTATGGTGGTATCCACCCATCTCCCCCACACCTCCACTTGAGTTCCATTCCCAATTCTCCACCGAAATCCATTTCTCACCAACTCTTGAACTGCCATTAGGCTTCTCCACACATAACTCGGGTTATGACCAGCTCTAGCATGTAGGATATCATTGTTAGGGGTAGTACTCAGCTTTTAACACTCGAGCTAGTAGGGAATCGGGATTTTGTATAAGGTTCCAGATCTATTTCCCTAGTAGGGCACCCCAATCCTCCTGCTTCCTTTGGTTCACACAACTTCTGCCAGCTCTCCATGGTATCCTCTCCTCATTTCTCTGTCCCCACAAGAAATTCAAAATTGAAGTCTTCAGTTCCTCCAGTACCACATCCAGGACAAGAAAGATTGACATAATGTAAGTTGATTGAGCCTGAGCTACCACTTTGATCAGAATTTTTTTGGCTGCATCTGATAAACTCGGACTTTTCCACATCTTAATCATTTTCCTAACCTTATCGATCAAAACCCCCAACAACTTTCTTCTTTTCTCAGCATATGATGGTGGGCAGTCCTAGATACTTCGTATGCTCATCAACTTGCATCATTCCCAGTATCACTGCCAACCTCGCTCTCAGATCAACCCTCACATTCAGACTAAAAATCAGGTTTGACTTTTGGAGGTTTACTTTTTTCCCTGATTCCTTTTCGTAGAGCTTTAGAATATTCCTTAATTGCTCACGTCCCGTTGAACTAGCTCTAGTGAAGAAGATTCTATCGTCTGCGAACAATAGATGTGAGATAATTTGTCCTCTTCTAAACACCTGAAAGCATGTAGCCTCCCTTCTTATATCGCTTCTGGTTAAAGCTTACAACCCCTCCACACCCAAATACCTAATTGAAATTTCTTGAAACTTTTGAGCTCAAATCACTTATAAATTTTCATATTATAATCTCTTATCGAGCCTTCTTCTTTTGTCCGATAAGATACATATAAACTAGGGCTGGGAAAATAGACCATACCGTTAGAAAAACCGTGGTCCAAACCGTACCGCACAGTTTGGTCCGGACCGTAGACCGTTAAGTATGGTCTGGTCTGGTCCATGGTCTGTATTATTTTATGTTTTGATCTCTTGGTCTGGTCTGGTCTAGACCGCGATTTACGTGACCAAACCGTGGACCCAACTGACTTGTCAATACGTGTTAACAGCCCATTCGGACCACTCTCCCAACTCCCAAAACGACACCCAAGTCTCAACCTTAGTTTTGTGAATCTCGTCCCTCCTTCATTCACAACCACATTTAACGAGAGAGTAGAGATAATCGTGTCTCCATATGATATTATGTTAATGTTTATGACGTTATGGTGCAAGTTGGGATGCTTTTACTTTGTATCTTTGTTATGTACCAAGATTTAGAGTATCAAAATTATTCGTGCATGTGAGGTTTAATGTTTTAAGGCAAATAACAATATTTTTTCTTTGTTATTGGTTCAAATTTTTGTGTGGTTGACTAAGCAAATTATTCATTTTTCGTTGAGTGTGGTCTATCTGGACCAGACCAGACCGAACCAGACCGCATAGGCGTGATCTGGACCGGACCGTATAGTCTGTGATCTGGTCTGTGGTCTATACTTTAGCCTCTCTATCTGGACCGTAGACCGTATATATGGTCTGGTGTGAATCAGACCGCACCGTTTCCCAGCCCTAATATAAACCCTAATAAAAGTGAAGGAACTAATGATATACGTGGCAGATTATATTTGTGGAAGTTAGTACGCACGCAGCAGAGCTGTGCTGCCGCCCTCCTCTCTCTACTCTTTGTTTTTGTTTCTGTTTTTTACTTTTTTCAGTTTTTGAACAAAAGTTGTTCTCCTCTCTCTACTCTACTTACCAAAAACATAAAAAAAAAAGTTTAATATTATTAATTGGGATGCACACAGAAAAGGAAATAGAAAATAAAAAATATTTAAATATCAAAGGTTGTAAACCAAACCAGTGAGCCACACCTTTCCCTTCCTCGTCTTTCCTCCTCAGTCCTCCTACCCCTTCCGCCGCTACTTCTCACTCTCCCTCTGCTCTCCCCCGCCGCCGCCGTCGCCGCCGGCCAAACGAATAGTAAGAACTAAGAAGCTGCTTTCTTAACCCCAGAAAAGAAAACAAAAACAAAAGGCAAAATGAGGCTTCATTTCCTCTTCTTCTTCTTCCTGCTCCTCCTCTTCCACCTCCATATCTCTACCTCCTCCGCTCGCGTATTGTCAGAATCCCAAGCTCTCCTCTCTCTCAAATCCGCCGTCACAGACGACCCAGATTCCGTACTCGCCGCCTGGAACTCTTCTGCCGCCGTCTGTACTTGGCCCGGGGTCACGTGCGACTCCTCCCGTCGTCACGTGACATCCCTCGACCTCTCCGGCCTCGGCCTCTCCGGTACCCTCTCGCCGGACGTCGCCCACCTCCGCTACCTCCAGAAGCTCTCTCTCGCCGACAATCAGTTCTCCGGACCTATCCCGCCCCAGCTCTCCGCCGTTTCGAGCCTCCGCCTCCTCAATCTCTCCAACAATGTCTTCAATGGCACTTTCCCCAACCAGCTCGCCCAGCTCAAGAATCTCCAGGTTCTCGACCTGTACAACAACAATATGACCGGCGACTTGCCGCTGACCGTTACCGAAATGCCCAATATCCTCCACTTACACCTCGGAGGCAACTTCTTCGCCGGGAAAATCCCGTCGGAGTATGGTAGGTGGGAGTTCATCCAATACCTAGCTGTCTCCGGTAACGAGCTGGTAGGGACTATTCCATCGGAGCTGGGGAACTTAACCTCGCTGCAGCAGCTCTACATTGGGTACTACAACAGCTATGAAGGCGGTCTTCCCGCGGAGATTGGGAACTTGTCCGAATTAGTCCGTCTCGACGCCGCTAATTGCGGGTTAACCGGCGAGATTCCGCCGGAAATCGGGAGATTGCAGAAGCTGGACACATTGTTCCTTCAGGTGAATGCCCTTTCGGGACCATTGACGCCGGAGCTCGGCCAGCTGAAGAGCCTGAAATCAATGGATTTGTCCAACAACATGCTCCAAGGGGAGATTCCACCGGCTTTCGCCGAGCTCAAGAACTTGACCCTCCTCAATCTCTTCAGAAACAAGCTTCACGGCGCCATTCCGGAGTTCATCGGCGAGTTGCCACAGCTTGAAGTGTTGCAGCTCTGGGAGAATAACTTCACCGGAAGCATTCCTCAAGGTTTGGGTACTAACGGCAGGCTCTGGGTCCTGGATCTTTCTTCCAACAAGCTCACTGGAACTCTGCCTCCAGATCTCTGTGCTGGTAATCGCTTACAGACTCTGATTACCCTTAGCAACTTCCTTTTCGGGCCGATCCCAGAATCGCTGGGAAAATGCGAGTCGCTGAGTCGAATTCGAATGGGGGAAAATTTCTTCAACGGCTCCATACCAAGCGGTCTTCTAGGGTTGCCGGAGCTTACCCAAGTGGAGCTTCAAGACAATCTATTGACCGGAGAGTTTCCAGTTACTACCGATGCAGTAGCCTTGAATCTCGGCCAAATCAGCCTCTCCAACAATCAGCTCTCTGGTCCATTGCCTCCCACCATCGGCAACTTCTCCGGTGTTCAGAAGTTGCTTCTCGATGGGAACCAATTCACTGGTTCAATCCCATCAGAGATCGGAAAGCTACAGCAGCTTTCAAAGATGGATTTCAGCCATAACAAGTTATCTGGGCCAATCACACCTGAAATCAGTCAATGCAAGCTGCTGACGTTCGTCGATCTGAGTCGAAACCAACTATCCGGTGACATTCCGACTGAGATTACGGCGATGAGGATCTTGAACTACCTCAACGTATCGAGAAACAGTCTCATTGGTAGCATTCCTCCATCCATTTCCACTATGCAGAGCTTAACATCTGTTGATTTCTCTTACAACAACCTCTCCGGCTTGGTCCCTGGAACTGGTCAATTTAGCTACTTTAACTACACTTCCTTTCTGGGTAATCCGGATCTCTGCGGTCCTTACTTGGGTCCTTGCAAAGACGGGGTCCTTGCAAATGCGACCCACCAAGCACATGCTAAAGGTCCACTCTCTGCTTCTCTGAAGCTCTTGCTGGTTATTGGTTTGCTTGTGTGCTCCATTGCCTTTGCAGTTGCTGCAATCATCAAGGCAAGATCACTGAAGAAGGCCAGTGACTCTCGTGCCTGGAAACTGACTGCATTCCAGCGCCTCGATTTCACCGTGGACGATGTTTTAGATTGCTTGAAAGAAGATAATATTATAGGGAAAGGCGGTGCAGGGATAGTCTACAAAGGTTCTATGCCAAGCGGTGATCATGTTGCCGTCAAGAGGCTACCAGTAATGAGCCGGGGGTCTTCTCATGATCATGGTTTCAATGCCGAGATTCAAACTTTGGGGAGGATAAGGCACAGGCATATTGTCAGGTTACTGGGGTTCTGTTCGAATCATGAAACCAATCTTTTGGTCTATGAGTACATGCCCAATGGAAGTTTAGGTGAAGTTCTTCATGGCAAGAAAGGTGGCCATTTGCATTGGACTACAAGATACAGAATTGCTGTTGAGTCTGCAAAGGGGCTTTGCTACCTTCACCATGACTGTTCCCCTTTGATTGTTCATCGTGATGTGAAATCAAACAACATCCTTTTGGACTCCAGTTTTGAAGCTCATGTTGCTGATTTTGGCCTGGCAAAGTTCTTGCAAGATTCTGGAACATCTGAGTGCATGTCTGCAATTGCTGGATCTTATGGATACATCGCGCCAGGTAAACCATTTCAAGGTCTTTATTTCTTTTCTTTTGTCAACTTAAACCGAATGAAACTTGAGGTGACCAAATGGGTTGATGAAGATTCTGAGCACCAAGATCTCTTAGTTGGTGTAGATCCAGAGTCTGTCTCTCGTGCCTTGGTCTTATCTTGACTTCGGTGGTTGTTCAAACCATATAACAAGACAGGATGCTCTAATTAATTGAATATATCTTTGATTTAGTGGAGTTTGGTTTTGGAATTAGGTGGGAATCAGCTAGCTCCTGAAAGTACATCCACCACATGATTCGTTTTAACTGATAACCCACTAATGATAGTACCTTTCTATCTTTTTTCATCTTCGTCAAACCGGCGAGCCTTCACAATCAAGGATTAAAAATAAAAATAAAAAAGTGTAACAAACAAGACTCCATTTGAATCCTGTTACTGTTGTGTCCTTCTCGTAAATTTATTGGATCCAAAATCTAACAACAGTCTAGTACAAACATTTTCCCCCCAGGGTTCCAGACCAAGATCATTAATTAATATTTGTCTGGTGTCGTGTTTTTATACAGAGTATGCCTACACGTTGAAGGTTGATGAGAAGAGCGATGTATACAGCTTCGGTGTGGTCCTGCTGGAGCTGGTCACGGGCAGGAAACCTGTGGGAGAGTTCGGTGACGGTGTGGACATTGTCCAATGGGTTCGCAAGACGACCGATTCGAACAAGGAAGGTGCCCTGAAAGTGTTGGACCCTCGGCTCTCAACTGTGCCACTCCAGGAGGTCATGCATGTGTTCTACGTAGCAATGCTATGTGTCGAGGAGCAGGCCGTGGAGAGGCCGACGATGAGGGAAGTTGTGCAGATTCTAACCGAGCTTCCCAAGCCACCGGGTTTCAAGCAGGATGCCGTGGCAACCGAGTCATTCACGCTCACTGACTCGCCACAGTCGGCTTCAAGTCTAGGCTCTCCTACTGCAGCTACCAGTAAGGGATCGAAAGAGCAACAGTCTCCACCGCCGGATCTTCTCAGCATTTGAAGTTAGGGTTTGTAGTTTGCTTAGCCCTGTTGTCCTATTAAGAAGCAGGAAACAAGGGGAGTGCTGTTTGTTTTTCACTTTAAGCAAAATTTCATCAGAGGGTTGGGTTATTACTTCCTTAATCTGTAGTTTCTCTTCTTTGTTGCTATTTATGGGGGGATGTAGAGAGAATAGTAAGGGGAGGGTGGGGGAGTTTTAGCAGTTTGGAAGTTGTTTGTGTATAGTAGTGGGATGAGATTGGAGAAGGGTTTATGAATGTAGTTTGGTTTGGGTTTTCTTTTTGTCATTCTGGGTTTATAAATTTGTCCACATATTTGTGCTGGAACTTGGTTCAACCATGGTTATTGTCTACTCGAGTCAGTGAGAGCTTCTCCTTTGGATCTGCATGGGAAAAGGGGGGAAAATTGATTGTTCTTCACTGGTAACAAGATTGATTGCTTCTGCTGCTACTGGCTGCAGCTGATGATGATGATTGATGATCATTGATCAGTGGAAACATGAAGAAGTGAAATGGTGCTGGGGAGTCAGAGAGAGTCAGTGTTCCTATTGGAAACAGAGACTTTCATGACTCTTGGGCATTAATGGCTTGAAAGAGACTGGTTAGCAAGCTGTATGGCTGAACCAAACTCTGTTTTATCTCATTTGGCGAACCTCTTTTTTAGGAGTAGAGGGATTCAGAGCTGGGAATCAATCAAAAGTGGATTAGAGTTAAGAGTACAAAGGGGAAATTGCAAGTTTGGTCACTAGGTTTACTAAAAATGTCACATTTGGTCACTAAAAATATTTAATTCCATTCATGATCACTACAATTAAACATTTTAAGTTAGGTCACTCTCTGTCCAACTCCATTAACTTTGGTTGTAATCACAGTCAACTCTCATAATGGATAATTAAATATGTGACGTGACAAATAAAAAATTATAAAAAATAAAATTTAATATCCTAAACTTTCCACCTCATTTTCACAGAAGAAGAGGCTTCAACTAATGGAAAAAGTGGCCGATTCTCAGCCGAACCCTTCCCAATTGCAAGATTGAATATTGGACGCAACTTCATGGTAGTGCCGGAGAAGAACCTTGCCTGAAATGAACACAATCTTGTGTAAAATATGCTTAATACATACAAAGACGAGCTCGAACGATCAAGAAAAGAGAGAATAAATATGTGTAATTGTGGCGTTATCAGTATGCCTGCAATTTTGAGCATTTTCTAGATGAATCTTACTAGCCACTACCTAGTGGTAAGGTAATTATTCCACCATTGTACTTAAAGCGCACCAAGGTTCATCCAAGGACGAACATGATTCACAACAAGAAGGATCATTCCGGGCGAGCAAGAAGAGCTCCGAAGCGTTACAACTTACAAATTATGCAGGCAACCTAGGCACGATAGGAGGCAGTGTACAGGATAGCCTATAGAGCTTAGTGGTGGCAATTAATATCACTAAAAGTTACATTAATTTGTAATGCATAAGCTTTTTTGTAATAAAAGTTGGGATATTCCATGGTGGAAAGGGTAAGGTCCATTTGTAGACGTTGGGAATAAATTATTTATACGAAAAAATGCACAAAGTAAGTTTTTAATGATAGATAAATGTACCAACGTTTTAAAATAATTAAGAAAAAAATTGACGATCGAGCGTGACTACCAGTGTGTTGTTCCAAATAGCATGGGATCGATGTGTTGCTTGTTCTATTACATGCTTTGCATCTCTCAGATTAGATTGGATATACAATCTAGGATCATAAATCTCCACCGCCATCTATAATTAAATAAAAGGAAAGTAACATTATTTGATTGGTAAACAAATCGTGAAAATACAAAGCGTTCAAATGCAAGGAAAACTTTTTTTGGTGTAGAAGGTCGACTTATCCGTAACTTCAAAGCATATTAATAATTCCTTAATTGCAGTATTTTGGGCAAAATTCATAATTAATCCAAAAACAAATAACGAGTCCATCATGGTTAAACTACTAAGACATTATTGATCTTATATCGTTCCACAAATGAGTCATGTTGATAAATCACAAAAATATAAAATATATGACAAATTTAGTGAACAATAAATCATAGAATGAAAAACAAGTAGGTACATTAAGAGCCTCTTCATCCATTCTTTTACGGAAGTTGGACATAGGTTCAACCGGGTTATTAGAGGGAGAGAGTTGTATCACAACTCATGGAAACTCTTTAGAGGGAGAGAGTTGTCATCTCCAACCAATCGGTTCACATACCATGGTGACAATTCGTTTTGATCGCGGTTCCCTTAAACTATCAATTATAAGTCCCTTTTCTCGCCAGCGGTTTTAATGCAGATCTTGTCTAATCATAGCGATTTAAACAAAACATGTGTAAATTGGAAAATTTTATAAGAACTTATTGTATTTTTAATTTTTTTTTTAAGATCCTAGCTTTATTTTATGCATCGTTGTTGAACTACGCATTGGGCATTGAGCTTTCACGCTTTTGTGTGCAGTTTGGTGAGTTTGATAGGATATGACTTAAGGAAGCAGGAGGGGGGAGACTGAAGCCTGAAATTGTTGAAAACTCCATGCCATGGATGGAGGCTGGAGGGGCATTGTGCTTTTGCTGTTTCTGGCAAGTAGCTGCTGCCTGCTAGCCTCGAGTCGAGTGGGAAATGAAATGATGAGCGACTGCCATTGGCTTTCCCTTTTAATGATTCATTCAACAAGATAAGACCACCTGCCTAGCTCTTACATGGAAGTTGGAACTGAAATGCTTCTCCTCCTCCTCCTCCTAGTATTTGTATTCCCTCCATTCTTGTGTCTCTTTTCAGAAGTCCCAGATTTCCTTTTGGAGTTGGCGTCGACAGATTTGAATTGGCTTTTGTTTGATACCGCGGGTGGGAAATAGGAGAAACTTTTGGCAATTTGACAAGTTTAGAGAAAATAAAGTATATTATTCAATTCAACAATGGTTTTTGTTTTTATTTCATGACAATAGAACAATGGCGAGAGGATAAAGGCCGGGCCAAACATGTTTAAAGGAGACGTGGACAAATTAAAAGTGGAAAGTGTTTGGTTGAAAACAATTTTTTTTTTCTTCTCCCGTTGAACTGTAAAAAACAAATTGAATGTTTTTCTGATGCATAATCCTTGATCCAAACAACCAATATTTAGGTTGCTTTAGCTAACAGTGCATGAAGTTTTCTAGTGTAGATATGAATACTATGTTTGCATGAAGTTTTCTAGTGAGATATGCATACCATATATAGGGGTGGAAATCGATAAGGTATCGGTATCCCAATATCAAATACCAAAATCGCGAATACCGAATTACACCCTAAAATCAATTCCAATCACAATCCCTAAATAATTTTGGTATCCCAATCGGTACTTCGGTATCCCATTCGGTATCCCATTCGGTATTATCGAATACGAAATTAATTACCTTTGCAATTATAATTAAATATATAAATCATATTTGATTGTTAAATATAGGACAAAGAGACTAAGCAAAGAGTGTTGAGTTTGGCTAGTGCTAGGATATGGATAAGGAGAATGGAGGAGATGTGACATCTTAAGTTTTTGTCATTGGTAATCTTCAATTTGACGAATTGGAGGCTGAGAGAAGACTAATACTAGTGTATGTTTTTTGCTGATATAAAAATAACAAGATATTGGTGGTTGAGAGTCGTGTAGTAGTGAATGAGAGAGACTAGTTGAGAGGATAAAAGACACACTAGATTATATTTCGGTATTGTTCGGTATATTGGTATATACCGCTCCCAATCCCGTAATACCTAATACCAAATAACAATTGAAATTGAATCTCAATCCCAATACCAAGAAATAATACGTGTATTCAGTAATACCAAATATAGACAAATCCGGTATATCTGAAGTACCAGTACCAAACTTCCAGCCCTAGCTATATTGATGCATTAGGGCTAGTAGGGATGCAATGAGCCAAGCTACTCACGAGTGACTCGATGCTCGGTTTGGGAAAAATCGTTTGACACTCGGCTCGTTTACTAATGAGTCGAGCTCAAACTAGGTTTTGTTAAGCTTTTAAAACTCGCTAGCTAGCTCCACTCGGTGACTTGTTGAGCTCAACTCGTTTGAGATATGAGATAACTGGATAGTATGGCTAGCAACTTATGGCCGAACCGATTAATAGCGTATCAGTTGGCTTGTTGATAATTCATAAGTTTTGATAGATTGTACATATTGGGAGTACTGATATAAGAATAAGATTTTGAGTTGATGGGATTCTTAAAGATTTAATAATGTTAAAGGTTATGCATCTAATGAATTTTGAATTGAATGAGAATCTTAGGTAAGCTAACATCAACGAGACTATGAGAATTAAATTTAAAGGATCATACTAAACCCTATGTATCTAAAGGGTTTTGTTGTCCAATTTTTTACCAAGTGAGACCCCCTCTCCTCAAGGCCTCCCTCCGCCACTGGTTATAGTGAACTGATAGAATAAAAAATCCAATATTACAAAACCATATCTCTAGCATTTCATTTAAATCACATTTGGGTGCCAAAAATTTATTAACCCTATGTTGATGAAGAAGGAAAAATAGATGATGGAGAAAATAAGTAGAAATTGGAGGGATCCAAAACTTTTCCCTATGTCATAAGTTTTGCTACAGTACATGGGAGTGATTATTTGGTAAGGGTGGGGGAGGAGAGTTGTTGTAGCAGTTGCTCCCCAATTTGGGATGAAAGCAACTTTTCCATGTTTATCTTGATTCCATTCGTCAACTCGTAGAATGACTTGATATGTGTGAGCATCTTCACTCATCATCCCATTGAATTGAACCGCACTTAGAAGCATCGAAATCGTGTCCGACTTTATCTCATAATTGTTGTTCGGCACCGGTGGGTGAAGAATATGTGATTGAACATTATACACACTCGGTCTTGAGTAGAATCCCATTGTTTTAGGCCACGGTGGAACTTGAGGTTGTTGTTGTTGATCTACCATTGATGGGGATTGATGTCTCACACAACTCTTCTTAGATTCCGAAGGGTTCTCTCGATTTCCGTATCAAGAGGTAGTATCTCCAAAGAGTCTCTTCTTTATATACAAAAGTTCTACAAGACACAAACTCGGCAACCCGTGACGTACAAAGTTGGATAACAAAAACACAAAAAATATAGAAACTACCAAAATATAAAAATATAAACAAAGACAAAACAAAGAAAATAAAGACTAAACTAACCACTCGGTGGTTTTCTACTAGTTACCGAGGGTCCCCAGTAACGGCGCCAAAAAGCTTAATCGATTCATTCCGTGCAAGTCATTGCCAGTAGTTAGCACGTTTCAATAACTAACCCATCATAAGACAAGTTTAACCTAAAACGACGTTGTCATATAGTAGCAATCAAGGTCGTATTCACTCAGGTCCTGGAACTCTAGCATACTTCCCATGTTGTTGTTATCTAGCTGATCGGTTTAAAGGGTTGTGTTGGAGGATTCAAGCAAAATAACTCGTAGAGAGAACAAATGAGGATAAAAGCACGTACTTGAGGAAACTATCCCTCACCCTAGTCTAGGTCTACTATGAAATGTCTAAATAGTTGGGTTTAGCGAATGTGATGAGTGAGCTCTTTTCTATGGGCTTTCGTGGTTATCCACACGCCTCCGAGTATGCCTCACCTAAATTCATGTCAGTCACCTCGATCTAGGCTATCGTATCTGGGGTTTTAAGAACATAGCTAATTTCAATGGGTACTACCCACCGTCCACACGAGGTTTCATCCAGGGTTCTATCTAGGAAGGCATCTTATAGTAGGGTTACGATCGCCTTGTCCACCATTAGATCCTATTCATTCATCTAACCCTAATTTGCCTGATTGTGCATACCCATCTAACCTAAAACTCCATACCCAACATAGAAGCTCAAGTAGGCTAGTAGATAAGATTAGAGCAACGCACCCAAGCATAATCAAAACTACTAGAGAAGCATTAAAATCAACTAGATAAACACATTCATTCAAAACCCTAAAATATTCATACATTACATAACAGTACTAAAACTAGGGTTTGGGGTTTAGAACCCCTAATGCCTTAGAAGACTACTCCATAAAGGATATAAGAGAATACATAAAAGAAATTGGGGAAGACTTGATTTTGAGGAAGATGACTCCTCTCTTCTAGCTTCTCCTCCTCATTCTTCTTCTCTTCTCCTTCCTTCATCTTCTCTCTCTTCCTTCTCTCTCTAACCAAAATTTTCTCTCTCAAAATCAGCTCACTTCAAATGGGGGAAAGGGTCTTTTATTTATAGACTTCAGGAGATGGATAAAATCACGACCAGGCAGGGGAAAGATTACGGTCTTGATCTTATTCCTAGAAACCACAATCTACAAGCGTCGCCGTTTTGGCCATCAAACTCTGGGAGTTCGCAGGCTGACTTCACGGTTGTGATCTGTGAGTCGTGGCCGCGAACTTACTCGGGGTCAAGGTGAACTATGGTCGTGATCAGACTGGGGAAACTCTTTGTTTCTCATCGGTTGTCTTCTTCACAAAGTTCATGATCGAAGCCTCCAAATTCGCGGTCGCGATCTTGGACTCTCAGGCCATGA